AATAAAACAAAATTTATTAAGTTTTTCAAAGGTAACTAATAGTTGTACAATAGTAGCTAAAAATGAAAGTGCTAAAATATATAATGAGTCTAGAGAGTTGATAGTTGTTGCTGATAAAATTAATAATTTGTATTGCTTAAAAGGTTATGTCTTAAAAAATGAAGTATGCACAAATTCTGTAAAGTTAACGCAGAAAGAAAAATGGCATAGGGCACTTGGTCATGTGAATTTTCAATACTTAAATAAGATAATAAATAATAAATTAGTTGATGGTTTGCCAGATAAAATTGAAAGCACAGAAATGAAATGTTCAAATTGTATTCAGAGTAAAATGACTAATGTACCTTTTGAAAATAATAGAACAAAAACTACTGAGATTTTAGAACTTATTCATACTGATTTGAATGGGCCACATAACACAACTGGTTATGGTGGAGAAAAATATTTTTTAACCTTTATTGATGATTATAGTAAGTGTACCAGGATATTTTGTATTAAAAGTAAAGCTGAAACTGCAAAGTGTTTTATAGAGTTTATAAATTTAGTAGAAAATAAATTTAATAAAAGAGTCAAGAAGATTCAGTGTGACAATGGTAGAGAGTATTTAAATAAGGATATTTATAATTTTATAAGGTATAAGGGCATAGAGTTGTTACCATGTCCACCTTATGTTCATGAGTTAAACGGAGTAGCGGAGAGGTATAATAGGTCTGCTATGGATATAGGTAGATGTTTAATGAGAGAAGCTAAAATACATAGGAGGTACTGGCCTGAAGTAATAAAAACAGCAGCTTATTTAAAGAATCGTACTATTGCAAATACAGTTGAAAATAAAACTCCTTATGAGATATTTTTTGGGGTCAAACCAAATGTAGAGCATTTAAAAATTTATGGAAGTAGAGTCTATGTTAGAGTTCCTGAAGTGTTAAGAAAAAGTAAATGGGATGATAAAGCTCAACTAGGAATTTTAGTGGGTTATAATGAAAATAGTTACAGAGTTTTGTTAAATAACAGAATAATTAATGCAAGGCATGTACAGGTAATTGAAGAAAATACTCAGTTAATTTGTTTGGAAAAGTAGACAATCAAAATAATAAAGATTTGGAAAGTGATAATACTTTAGATGTTTCAAATGAAGAGGTTAAAAATGAATATGAAACCGATGAAAACTTTGTAGATGCAGATGAACTATTCTAGTAGTAACGTAAATAATAATAGAGAAAATGACGTTTTAGTAGAATCACAGAAAAGAAAGAGAATCCCAGTTTCTAGATATGGTAATCCAGTTACACACTTTATTTATGTTAACCATATTGATGCAAATGTACCAAATTCATTCGAGGAGGCGATGAACTCCAATGATAGTAAGCAATGGCAAATAGCCATGGATTCTGAAATAAATAGTTTAAATAAAAATAATACTTGGCAAATTGTAGAAAAACCAAAAGATAAAAAGGTAATTGATGTTAAATGGGTTTTTAAAAAGAAAAGTAATAATGAATATAAAGCTAGATTGGTTGTGAGAGGGTTTCAGCAAAAAGATTTTAATGAAAATGCTTACTCACCTGTTGGAAAAATGCAAACTTTGAAAATTTTATTGTCATACAGTTGTAAAAATAAATTATTTGTAGAGCAAATGGATGTTGAAACAGCCTTTTTAAATGGTTATGTAAAGTCAGAAGTTTATGTAAATCAACCAGAAGGTTATAAAACAGGAGATAATAAAGTTTACAAATTGCAAAAAGCTCTCTATGGTCTCAAAGAAAGTCCTAGAGTGTGGTATGATTGTTTTGATATATTTATAAAACTTTGAATTTTGTTAGAAGTAGTTATGATTACTGTTTGTATGTTAAAAAAGCAAGCAAAGATCCAATATACATATTAATATTTGTTGATGATCTTTTAATATGTTGTAAAGATAAAAATAAAATAAAAGAGGTGAAAACAAGTTTAATGAAACGATTTGCAATGAAAGACTTGGGGAAAATTAAAAGCTATATTGGCATAGATATTGAGTATAATGATGATAAAAATGTGATGACATTAAGTCAAACAAAGTATATTGAATCTTTGGCTGCAAAGTATAATTTGGTAAATACTAAGTTATATGATACTCCTATGGAAACAAATTTAAAATTAGAGCAAGCTAGTGAGGTCGATGAAAGTATTAAGTACAGAAATATAATAGGTGAATTATTGTATATTAGTACAGGCACAAGACCAGATGTAGCGTACAGCGTTAATTATTTGAGTAGATATCAAAGTTGTTATAACCGAACACATTACAAATATGCAATGAGGGTGTTAAAATATTTGTATAAAACTAAGAATCTAAAGTTAACATATTATGATAATGCAGATGCTGATATTTTAGACTGTATGGTTGATTCAGACTATGCAGGGGATAATGTGGATAGGAAGTCTACAACAGGTTTTATTATAAGATTTTTTGGAAATTTAATATTTTGGAAAACACGTAAACAAAATACAGTAACTAAATGTTCAACTTTTGCAGAGTATATTGCATTGTCAGAGGCAGTAACTGAAGTACTTTTTATAAGAAATTTGTTAAGTGAGTCATTTGATATAAACTTTTGTTATCCAATAAAATTGTATGAAGATAACTCAGGTGCAATTGCAATAGCTAAGTATGGTAACTTTACTAAAAATTCAAAGCACATTGAAGTGCAATATCATTATATAAACGAGAATTATGAAAACAAACTTATTGATATAATTAAAATTGATACAAAATGTAACTTAGCAGATATGTTGACTAAGAGTCTAGATAAATCAAAATTTTTGAAAAACAGGTTTGAATTAAGATTAATTTAGTTAAGAGTTCAGATTATTACTTTAAAGTACTGTTTAAGTAAAATATTAAAACTGTAATAACTTTAAAATACTGTTCATGTAAGATAAAATGTTAAGATTATAAATTTAAGGAGGTGTGTTGTAATAAGGTAAATATTATAATCTTAAGTTAAATAATATAAGTAGCGCCATCTAGTGTTAAGTTGGCAAGTTTCTCATAGACGTCGATATATTATCTGTATTCTTCCCTTTTGTCGTCTGCATGGCGCCCATCATGTGCTTTCTGTGTGATTTATAATAAAACTACGAAATTTAACAAGCTATTATCTATTATTCAACCACATCCACCACTTCAACAGTAACTTTCGTGATATATACTAAATCAATTATTATATTTTTCGGCTCACTCACGTAATTATTTGACGAGGAGCTAGTATTAAGAATATGAGCTTCTAGTGTGGCTTGAAACTAGTCGAGTTCCTCGTCAAACGTCTGCGAAACATTATAAAATTCATAACTTCAATGCAATTTTGAGCCATTTTATTTTGATATATGGACAGTAACATCCTAATCTTAGTACTAATTACTACGTTACCTAGGCCTTTAGCCAAACGCCACTTTAGCGCTTGTCTACGGAGAGAGTAGAAATCAAAATGTATGGGGATGACACTGACAATGACTTGACTGACTGTGTCAAAATTTACGTCAATTCCATATAATTTGGTTTTCTATTCTACAAGTAGACAAGCGCTGAATGGCATTTGGCTACAGCTGCTGGTGTAGGAACGGGGTGGTTTTTAGTCAGTAAGAGTCTGACACTCCCTCCCGCCTCACCCGGGCGGGAGCAGCCATTCGATGATTTTCCCCCCTTAAACCCTAAGGTTGACTGGCAGAGAATGCCATATGGCATTAAGTTTGCCTTATGTGCCATAATCAAATTGTGTACATAAAATACTAAATAAAAAAATAAATAAAACTTTAATACTACTTTTTAGAGATATTTATTTTGTTTCAAAGATTACTTATAACCTTATCTAACGTTTATAGAAATAATTTCACGAGGTTATATGATCACCAGCAAACGGTGGAGATGTGTAGGAACCACAACACGTGCGATCAATTTTTACTGAGACGAAGACGCGTGGATAAGTCAGCTGTTGCATGGAATCTCATTAATGGTTATAAATAGATCTCTATTTATATTATCTCAATGTTAAATATCACAAGTGTTGTACTCCTCGGTAGGGGTGTATCTTTACTAATATTGTAATAGGTGAAATGGTTCTCGTTTGTTTGTTTTTATTGATTCATGTCGCGGACTGATTTTATGACAAAATCACAAACGAATGCCGAATGCGATAAGCCAATAAGTGCTGTCTATGGACACCTGTAACACAAGTAGAGTTACAAGTGGTTTCCTGGCCTTAGAGCTTCTTTCTTGAAGGTTTGAAGGTCGTACCAAAAAAAATCAATCTAATTAAAAAGTCAAGGAAGGAAGTATCGACACGAGAAATAAAGTTCAACACAAAGAAAAATAGCATTCCATAGACTCTTCACACAAGAAATTCTTGGAACTATAACCTTTTTTCATAGTTGTTAAAAGTTCGTAGTAAACATGCTTGGTGGCCGTGCCAACTGTATGAAAAACTTTCAGCCTTGAACTAAAGCGGTGTAATACTTGTAGCAGTTGTAGCTAGTAACCCAGATAGTTTGAACACAAACGGACGGACATAGATTTTACTACCACTTCATAGACACGGACGATTGACGTCATTTTTTTAGTTTGACAGTTCCGCGCCAAAATTAAAAAGTTGTAACGTCAAAGTTCAGAGGCAGTATGGCGAAAGTTTCATTAAAATAAGGGTTAAAAGAACGAACATATTAAAAAAAATAAACATTTTGCTAGTAAGTTTTGAGTATGTACTAGTTGATATTTGATTGTTAAAAAATTAATCGTTCGTCCAATTACCACCTATTTTTTTTCATTTATAGCAACAGTAAATGAAGTGATTCTTTTATAATTACACATATTGTACTAAATATTGAAACAAAACGATCTTTTGTTACTTATAGTCTTAATTGGCGTAAATATTTGTTAGGTTAAATTAGCACCAATTCCCACTGCAAATCAAACTAATGTTAGTCTATGGTTAGCAAGGAATGAACACGAAACTCATTGTATCAACCTGTCACGGCCTCCAGATGATATTGTGTACCTGTATAAAATAATAACGTTATAAAATTGTAATTATTTATTCATATCGTGACTGAAAACATAAAAATAATTATCTACCTTTTATGCAGATAGTTTAATAACAGTAGCGTATTTTTGTTATCTATGATAAAAAATTCTTATACCTGACAAAACATAATTACATGTGTATAAGCATAATTTGATATCTATCTACTCAAAACAGGTATAATATAGAGGAATTATTCTTTGAGAAAAATAATAAAAATAATAATGTAGGTATGTACACAGATGAGGGTTAGTCCTCCCTGGTGAGATTTCAAATATGACAAAAATGTAGTGAGTCCAGTTCTTACACAATCCTGCAGCTGTAACCAAATGCCATTTAGCGCTTGTCTACATGTAGAATAGAAAACCAAATTATATGGAATTGACGGAAATTTTGACACTTGTCAGTGTCATCCCCATACATTTTGATTTCTACTCTCTCTGTAGACAAGCGCTAAAGTGGCGTTTGGCTAAAGGCCCTTGATTGATATCAGTTTTCAGTAGGTAAAAGTCGTTCTCAATTGTCCCCTTCTGTACTCGTTTTTAATCTATCTTCATTAATTCCATTCGTTCATTACAAAAAAGCGCGCCAAATAAAAAGCTAAAAAACAAGATGGCGCCCGCAAATATTCACAATTACTCTAATAATTCGTTTATCTCCTCATAACACTTAGTTTATTAATTGTTTACTCCGAGAGCGAACGAGTAACGGGAGTGCGTTTATTTTTAGCCATTATAATTTTAACTAACACACACTGACATCCAGTTTACATGTACCGATTATTGAGATAAATGAGTATCGTGTATTTGTTTTCTTATTTGCTCCGTGGTTTAATGTTTTTGGACTAAGTTTGTGAATGGGTTACCTGATAAAAAGAACCCATACTAGAAAGAAGAAAGTAGTAAGCAGGTATGTGTTGCGTTTGCTATTGCTACTTATCATACATCATATTGTTAAAAAATACCTCAAGTTTCAGAGGAAGATATCTCATTTCCCATCCATTTTCACGCTAGGCAGGTTATTTCTGGAGTTGGGGGTAAAATCATAGTAATTATAGAGGATGCTTTTGTTGGCGTCTTAGTGGCAAATCGTAGTTTAAGGATAAAGTGGATTGGCACATAAACAGATTGCAGATTAAATAGCATAATAAGATTTTCCATAAAATTGTATGATTCTTGAATTCGTTATATCGAATATCGTTGCACATCTCAATGGAAAAGAAAGTAGGTTCATTAGTCCAATCAGCATTTTTTGATCAATGACTTGAGATTAGCAAATATTATATTGGGCAATAGACGAAAAGCTATACTAGCGCCACCAGAGTAACACGAATTGAGAATCATTGAGTTCCTCTTCTTTTTATTAGAGTCGGTAAAAAATTTTGCTTGTAAAATACTAAGTACGTGAGAAACAGTGAGATGTCAGTCGCTACATTATAATGAAGATTTACGACGTAATTGTAATTCATAGTCTAGTGTTTTGTTACAGCACGTTTAGACAGCAGTAACTAGCAATTATGAGCAAGTACATCTGATGGATGAGTTCATCATTATGTACATCTCGCTTATTTTTTAAAATTTCATTTATAACATTAAACCTTTTATTTTAATCCTCGAAGTAACACTCGCTTTTCAGCCGTTATGTTATGTTATTTATGTTACAAAGAGGGTGCGATTTGAGACTCTGTGGTGTTATTGATAAAATAAAATTTTATTTAACTATCATTTAACTTGGTTGGTGCAGTGGTTGGGCAACCGGCTAGATTCCCGCACGGAGCATTTCTTTGTGGGATCCACAAATTGTTGTTCCAGGTCTGGGTATCATGTGAATGTGAACTTGTATGTTTGTAAACGCACCCACGACACAAGAGAAAATACTAGTACGAGGCAAAGTTTTAATAAAAAAAAAACAAAAAAAATAATTTCCAACGATATGTATATCATCTTAGGTTTTAAATAAAATCTTGTTTTATCACTAACACGCATGTATATCGTTGGGAATGAATTAAAAGGTGATAATGAGGAAGAGTCTGGAAAAGTTAAATATTACGAGAAATAGTCTACTGGAAACCCTGAATCTAGATGACTGCAAAGAAGAGATAAAGAAAATTCTAACATGGTGACACTAGATAACCTTTTTGCTCTATATTTGAGAAGGACAGGCACTGATTATTGTCATATAACAAAACTTTCTTTATAGATTCTGTTATCCTACTAATATTATAAATGCGAAGTTTGTATGTTTGTTTGTTCCTCCTTCACGCCAAAACGGCTGAAGAGATTGAGATAAAATTTGGAACAGAGGTAGAATATGGTGAAATAACACATAGGCCACTTTTTATCCCATGGTTTGCTCAGCTTTGCTCAGCAGTGGGCATTTATAGGCTGTTGATGATGAACGCGGACGAAGCTACTGGCTAAAGCAAGTAGTGCATAAATTATTCATAAAAATAGTATACAAGAGCAAGTGTAAATGTTTGTATGCAATCAGTAATCAGTTCATAATCGGACGAGGTGAAGGCGAGTGCATCAAACAAGATCGGTTATCGCAACACCTGACGGAATGGACGCGCTCAATCGTCGGCTACACTTTGATGTTTTGCCAACTAACTGTTACACAGTAGGTTAGATAGAAGACTAACTAAAAACAAATGTTGTTAAGAATCTTTTTTGTGGAGTCGCCACAAGAGGGACTAGTGAGGTAAGGGTTTAGGGATGGTCCGGCTCGGACGGTCTCATATGCAACAAACGAAATAATTAGGTTTCGGCAAAATGTTTTCGGTTCTGCATACAATAGCACGCAGTCTGAAATTGTGCCGATATAGATATGATAATAGTGTCACCCCTTATCATATTGAACACAAAGCTTTATTGGTGAAAAGTGGGAATAACGTTGTAAAATCGTTGTAATTCAAGACTAAGTCAAGCTAGACTCCAGAAATATCGGAAAATCAGAATATAAGATTTGGCTATCGTAATTTAGAATAATCAAAAATAGATGAAACCATATACCACTTCTTTTTAAGGGGAGAAAATTATCGAATGAATACTCCCGCCCGGGTAAGGCGGGAGGTAGTGTCAGACTCTTACTGACTAAAAACCACTCCGTTCCTACTCCTACACTTTGAGCCGGAGCCCCGGTAACCCGTTAAATTCTCCGCGGCTCCCAATCGTCATCAGCCTTATTGGGCCCCATCTGTGGTGGTCTGATGGCTAAAACATATACCACTAGGTGCAAATTCAATATCTACACCTACTTTGAAAAAAGGTTAAGAATTCTTTTATTAATTAAGCGTTTAAAAAAACTGACTCCAACCCCCTCTTTTTTGAAGTCGGTTAATTGATATACTAAAACCTTCTCCTAAGTGTAAGAAACACTTTTCGGACAACCGTATTAAAATCGCATCGCATCGAATTCAGCCAATCGTGCTCAAACATACATAAATACAGGTCAAATTGAGAACCTCCTTTATTTATTTTTTTTGAAGTCTAAATAGACAATGTGTTAGTAGAAAAAGTACAAATGCAATTAACAATGAACCTTCTGCAAGTTACTTGTGAGTGCAGATTGCATCTGTGCTCTGTATGGACGAGATCGCAGCCACGAGTGACCTCACACCGATCCAACGATTACTGCTCCACTATATGTTATGTTGTACGATATTGTGGGCATCATCATTTATATATTTTTTTATTTATTTATTAATTTACACTTCTTGCAATTGTATACAACGGCGGACTTAATGCCTAGTGGCTAGTAGTGTTTCTATTTACTATAAACTCTTGAAATTGATGTTGGTACTGGAGAATAGTAACTCAGTTTATTAATTTTGTCTGCTCTAGGAATGATCGTAAGAGCGACTGACTGCTTAGAAATTAGTCTCAGGTTCTCCTGGTTTCGGTAAAGTTGGGATCATTGAGGGTGTTTCTGTCAGTTTCAAATTGAAAGCCTACGGAGACTTACGTTACGTACGTTTGCCTAGATGTGGTCTCCACGTATAACCTAATCTTCCTAAACTGTTTTAAATGCATAAAGTTAACTCGTAAGCTCGTATTATTGTTGTTTTTTATGGTATAAGCCGGTAAACGAGCAGACGGATCACCTGATGGTTAGAAATCGGCGTCGCCCATGGACATCTGGAACACCAGAGGCTTGACAAGTGCATTACCGGCCTTTTGAGATTTAGAAATTTAAAGATTGTTAGAGATTCAGGGATTGGGGAAATTAGGGAAAGAGGGGAACGGTGATTGACATTATTTTTAAGTATTGATTCGAATACTAAAACAAAATATTATTTTATTCTTCAGGAAACGTTCAGCACCCTGCGTAAGTATAACCGGCTACAAATACATAAAAATAATACTTATATGTAGTGTTTTTTTTTTTTTTTTTTTAAGGGGGGAAAATCATCGAATGACTGCTCCCGCCTGGGTGAGGCGGAAGGGAGTGTCAGACTCTTACTGACTAAAAACCACCCCGTTCCTTCTCCTGCACGTCGAGCCGGAGCCCCGGTTACCCGTTAGGTTCTCCGCGACTCCGAATCGGCATCGGCCCTATTGGGCCCCATCTGTGGTGGTCTGATGGCTCTTTGAGGCGCGCGCGGAACGCGACGCGCCGTACGCTCGGGTCTGTTTCTGGTCGGACGGGGAGCCACCCATGCTCGCCGTCCGCAGGCCCGCGCTTACGGTGGCCGGAGATCGTCCCGCGATCCCCGACGCCCGGTGTGTCCTTCGCGATGGCTGGGTTGCGAGGAGGCAGCGCTTCGCTGCCTCACGCGTCCCGCCTCCTCCTTAGCTAGCATGACTGCTTCGCAAAAGGAGGAGACGGCATCCCAGTCCCCCTCGCTCCGCATCATGGCCTGCACTAGGCCCGGACGCGAGAGGTCGCCATCGCCGATCACTTCCCTGAGGGCACGGCGGTGCTCAGCCCACGCAGGGCATTCCGCTACGGTGTGTTCCACCGTATCCTCAGGGCGG